TTGTTTGTTAGATTGCACTCTCACACTTAGATTTTAGTTGGTTTTGCTAAAAGGAAAGCATTAGTTGCTATGATTGAGAACCTATGGCGGTAATGGACCCATGGTGATCAGGTCTCCGATTGATACATTATTAAGCTTACTCATTTTCGTTGTTATTTTTTTTTCTCATTTGACAATGCCATTGTTTATTAAAAAGAGAAACCATTGTGTGATAGTGTATGTGTGCAGACAAGTGGAGTGAGATCAACCGATGACGCCAAGCTAGGATAAGTTCTATGGTAATTTCTATTTTTTCTTTTTTTCTTTTCTTTTTCAGCCCTCCATTTCCAACCATACGCACTATCGATCCAATTTGTCATTACATACATAAATGAGGAGAGATCCCAAACAGGTATTTTAATTAGTTAAGTTCTTCATTTTTTTCCCCACTGAATCAAATCAATCTCTCCCTAGAAGATAGGGTATTTGAATGTCTACCTATGTATTTTATGTATGAGTAACCTGATACATATACACATATTGATATATATGTTTTGTGGGGATTATGTATGCATATATTTCTGTATATCCAAGTTATCATTGGTGGAGCTACATAATCCCACTCAAAATTAGGATTTTTTTTGTTTAAATATGTGTATTTATGCAAAAGTTTTGGGAGTTCTAGAAATTGAAGGCAGCGGAATGATTAGAAAAATTAAAATTGGATTTTTTTTTTGGTTTGTGCTTGAATCTTGGATTTGGAGAGTGATTTGTGGAGAGAAAAGGAAAGTGGCTGGAAATATGAATTAAAATTGGGGTTTTTTTTTTGGTTTGTGCTTGAATCTTGGATTTGGAGAGTGATTTGTGGAGAGAAAAGGAAAGTGGCTGGAAATATGAATTAAAATTTGGGTTTTTTTTTGGTTTGTGCTTGAATCTTGGATTTGGAGAGTGATTTGTGGAGAGAAAAGGAAAGTGGCTGGAAATATGAATTAAAATTTGGGTTTTTTTTTGGTTTGTGCTTGAATCTTGGATTTGGAGAGTGATTTGTGGAGAGAAAAGGAAAGTGGCTGGAAATATGAATTAAAATTTGGGTTTTTTTTTGGTTTGTGCTTGAATCTTGGATTTGGAGAGTGATTTGTGGAGAGAAAAGGAAAGTGGCTGGAAATATGAATTAAAATTTGGGTTTTTTTTTGGTTTGTGCTTGAATCTTGGATTTGGAGAGTGATTTGTGGAGAGAAAAGGAAAGTGGCTGGAAATATGAATTAAAATTTGGGTTTTTTTTTGGTTTGTGCTTGAATCTTGGATTTGGAGAGTGATTTGTGGAGAGAAAAGGAAAGTGGCTGGAAATATGAATTAAAATTTGGGTTTTTTTTTGGTTTGTGCTTGAATCTTGGATTTGGAGAGTGATTTGTGGAGAGAAAAGGAAAGTGGCTGGAAATATGAATTAAAATTTGGGTTTTTTTTTGGTTTGTGCTTGAATCTTGGATTTGGAGAGTGATTTGTGGAGAGAAAAGGAAAGTGGCTGGAAATATGAATTAAAATTTGGGTTTTTTTTTGGTTTGTGCTTGAATCTTGGATTTGGAGAGTGATTTGTGGAGAGAAAAGGAAAGTGGCTGGAAATATGAATTAAAATTTGGGTTTTTTTTTGGTTTGTGCTTGAATCTTGGATTTGGAGAGTGATTTGTGGAGAGAAAAGGAAAGTGGCTGGAAATATGAATTAAAATTTGGGTTTTTTTTTGGTTTGTGCTTGAATCTAGAACTTCCAACCTTTGCAATTCATGATATTTTTGTGGGTTTGGTTGTTTCTGATTACTTGAATCTAGATACTTTTATGAGTTTGTAAAGTTGAATCTAAATATTTTTTAATCTGGTTATTTTTTTCAAATCTGGATTTTGGAAATTTTTTCATTTTGTTGAATCTCAGATCATTTATTTTTGTGAATTGTGCATTGGTGTTTAAACCATAAACCTTTTTGACGTCTGTGGGTGTTTGGTTAGGTTGGTCATTGTGTGGATTTCTATTTATAGTTTAGCTTCTGACATGGGTTTGATTTTGAAATGAGAAATTAGTTTTAATTTTTGAAATAAGTTTTGTTTCATGAAATGGGTTTCATTTTTTAAATGGGTTTTGATTTCAGAAATGAATTTTTTATGTTCAGTTTGATTTCTGACATGGTTTTGATTTATGAAATGGGTTTGATTCTTTAATGGGAAATGCGTGTTGATTTTTGAAATGGGTGTTGATTTCCTATGGTTTTGAAAAGCTTTTGATTTATGAAATGGGTTTTAATTTATGATATTAGTTTGAAATGTCTGTTGTATGGGTGTATCTACTTTGACCTGTTGAATTTTTTGTGGTCTACAATTGACTACATAACATGTGTCTTTTTATTCTTTGTTTAATTTGGTTTTCAAGTTGTGGCACCGGTTGTCAAATTGGTTGTGCATTTAATTTCTCATGAGTAAAGGTTTAATGTTATGAAAGTATTTATGTCATTTTACTTCTTCCAATATAAACGGTGACAACTCAAAGTGAGATTTTTTTTTATTATTTCTATGTATAAATTTAATATCAAATAATGTTTTAACTTATTCTTCATGACATGTAAGTAGGCACATTATGAGCTTGAATGCCAATTCTGATAGAGTTCTCTTCCATTATAATGGACATGGTGTACCAAAATCAACTGTTAATGGTGAAATTTGGGTATTCAATAAGGTTAGTATCTAATATGAGGCTATGATCATGTTCTTTTCTTTATCACTTCTAGAGTAGTGATGTTGTTTCTTAACTGTTCCTTTTGGTAGCTTCTTCTTCTTCTTTTTGTTTTTGTTTTTATTTTTTTAAGTCTGGAATCAATACATTTTGGTACCAATCGGTGGTAGTAGATTGGCTTAGAGTGATGCCTACTTGGTACTCATCCATTGTCAATCTTCAACTAGACTCCGAAAAGGTATTTTACTTTGATTGTTTGTTAGATTGCACTCTCACACTCAAATTTTAGTTGGTTTTGCTGAAAGGAAAGCATTAGTTACAATAATTGAGAGGACCCATGGCGGTAATGGACCCATGGTAATCGGGTCCCCGATTGATACATTGTTAAGCTTACTCATTTTCGTTGTTATTTTTTCTCATTTGACAATGCTATTGTCTATTAAAAAGAGAAACCATTGTGTGATAGTGTATGTGTGCAGACAAGTGGAGTGAGATCAACCGTTGACGCTAAGCTAAGATAAGTTCTATAGTAATTTCTATTTTTGTTTCCTTTTTTTTTCAACTCTCCATTTCCAACCATACGCACTATCAATCTAATTTGTCATTACATATATAAATGAGGGATTTTAATCTCTAATTTGATCATTTTATTTCATGTGATGTTTGTTATTTCTTTATGATTTTGGGGTTCTCATGTAGAGAGTTGTACTAAATATAATATTTATGCTGCCAATTGGCAGCTTGACAATAGGACGGAGTTAGTTGCTTGAAGTTAGTTGCTTTTGTTGAGTCGATTTTTGGATTCTAGGATTTTGTCAAAGATCATTTACTCCAAGTGGGTAGATCAAGTACTACTAGGAGTACATCCTCCTTATTGTTCCTTTGCCAGGAGAAAATGTAGTATTACCCGTAAATTGAGACAACTCTTTCTAAAAGCTGGTTAATGTTTTAAACTTGGTCCCTAAACATAATGATAATCTCTTTGTTCTTTGTGTTATTTATTCTAATTTTATATTTCTATTATGGTTTCAATATCTTAGTTTTCGTAGGACATAGCATTAGAACAATATTTTCTAATTAATATCAGAGATACATTTCATTTTAAGGGCTCAGATCAATCCTAATTAATATCTCACGGTTGACATCAATTTTCTTCCCGCTCAAACACTCTCTCCCTCTCCCACCTACCCATGTCTCCTTCCCCATTCCCTCTTTATCTCTCTCTCCCTCTCTCTATCTCTCCCTCTCTGTTACACGTCTCCTTCCATTCCCTCTTTGTCTCTCTCTCTCTCCCTCTCTGTTCTTCTTTCCTACCCTCCCTCTTGAGCTCGATTTCTGCCTCTCCCCCCCTTCTCTCTCAATGGCTTCCAGTCGCATCCCTCCCACTCGCAAGGTAGGGTTTCCGATTGTGAATTGCGACACTGTGCTTTGATTGGGTCATCGAAGGCTAGGGTTTCCACCACCACAACCACCGTCATCATCATCAACTTCCTCAAATTCTACATTGACACCGCTGTCTTCTTTTTCTCTCTCTGCTTCGAACCCCCATGGGAGCTCTCCGATACCTCTCTCTCTCTCTCTCTCTCTCTCTCTCAATGCTTCTTTATGCTTCAAGTAAATCGATGTTTGTTGGTGGAATTGAGGTAATGGTTTAAATCGATGTTTTTGTTTATCATCGTTTCTGTTTCTGGTTTATTGTTGGGTGGTTGCCTATTTTGTGGTTCATGGTTTATTGTTTGGTGGTTGCCTAATTAGAACTATGGCAGAAATTATTGGTTTATTTATTTTTATTTTTTTTAAAAAAAATTTGTCAAATGATGTTTTTATTGTGTGCAAAGGGTTTGAAGAGAACAATGAACACTGATTGTTTCTCTTTTTAATTATTTGTTTTTATTGACTGATTAATAACACATTTTGTATAATAGTTAGTATAGATTATATTCTGTGGATTGGGGCATAGATACATACAAAGAAGATTTTAGATCAAGTGGTAGAGCCAACTTGCTTTGGTTGAGTCATCCTCCATGTGGTCTGTTTTGTTTGCAGAAATGATCATGTTTTTGTATATTTCAAGGTTTGCTAGATCACAAATTGGGCTACATAGTATATGATAATATGTGAGTTATTTACACGGACATCTCTAAATTATTAGAAAATATTAATTTTATTTTGATTTTATTAGTTTCTTCTCTATGTACAGAAAAGCATTAGCTAATGCATTACTTTTGTCCATTCTCTCTCTTCGGAAAACTCTTCAACTTATATTCTCATACGCATTTTCATTTCAGTAGAAATTAACTTCAAATTTTGTGGATTGGGGCATAGATACATACAAAGAAGATTTGAGATCAATTGGTGGAGCCAACTTGCTCTGGTTGAGTCATCCTCCATGTTTGTTGGTGGAATTGAGGTAATGGTTTAAATCGATGTTTTTGTTTATCATCGTTTCTGGTTCTGGTTTATTTTTTATTGTTTGGTGGTTGCCTATTTTGTGGTTCATGGTTTATTGTTTGGCGGTTGCCTAATTAGAACTATGGCAGAAATTATTGGTTTATTTATTTATTTTTTTTTAAAAAAAAATTTGTCAAATGATGTTTTTATTGTGTGCAAAGGGTTTGAAGAGAACAATGACAATAATCAACACTGATTGTTTCTCTTTTTGATTATTTGTTTTTATTAACTGATTAATAACACATTTTGTATAATAGTTAGTATAGAGTATATTCTGTGGATTGGGGCATAGATACATGCAAAAAAGATTTTAGATCAAGTGATGGAGCTAACTTGCTATGGTTGAGTCATCCTCCATGTGGTTTGTTTTGTTTGCAGAAATGATCATGTAAATTTACCTTAGATTTTGTATACTCCAAGGTTTGCTAGATCACAAATTGGGCTACATAGTATATGATAATTGGGCTACATAGTCTTGGGTGTAAGACTCTTAAAACAGATAACTGTTTTTGTAAAAAAAACATGTCAATAACAATAAAAAGAGGAAAAGTGGTATACTTTGGATCAGGATAAGAGATCAAAACAAGCCTCAAATCCAAAGATTTCTATCACCATTTCTTGAAGAAGGTTTTTGAAAATGTATAAAATGTGTATGAGATACATTTCAATTCAATGGCTAAGATTAATTCCAAGTTTATATCAAAGGTTCAGATGAATAGATCTCCCGCCCAAGACTTCTCTCCACCTACCTACGTCTGCCTCCCCACCTTCCCTCTCTATCTCTCTCTCCCTCTCCCTCTCCCTCTCTGTTCTTGAATACATCTCTCTTTCACAGATATATCTCTCTCTTCCTCCTATCTCTTTCATACGCTACTCTCTCTTCTCTTGCGATGACCACCGACCACCTCTCCTCTCCCTCGCCGGAGACCCAAACTCGAACCCTCTATTCCTGTCTTCCTCCCTTCATCTCCTGCTCCTTCATCTCCTGCTCCTTCATCCCCCTTCCCCATTTTAGGCCTTTGTTTTGCAACAAACCCATACCTTTTTCGATTCAGTGAGAGGAGAGAAAGAGGAGGGCATCGTTGTCCCGCCCCACCGACGCCGACGCCCTACCCCGCCATCCTCGACAAGAAGGTTTGAAACACATGAGGTAAATCTAGATTCAGTTTATTAGATTTCTACATTCAGTTTATTAGATTTCTTAGACATGGACTTCTTATGCTACTACTATTATCAGATTCAATCTACTACTATTATCTTTTAATTACTATTATCTTGATTAGGAATCTAATAAATCAGATTGGATTTCTTATGCTACTACGCTAGATTGGATTTCTTGGATTCACGGTTCAGTAATTAAAAGATTTCTTAGATTCCTAACCTGATTTATTAGATTCACAACTCCAAGACATGGATTTCTTATGCTACTACTATTATCTTTTAATTTATAGATTCTGTATAGTTCATTCCGCAGTTTACTTCCCTTGCCTGGGTAGTGGGTTGAATCTGTGACTACTATTATTATGGCTTATCATGATAGTAGCATAATAAGCTGTGGAATGATAGTGGGTTCAATCTGTGGAATGATAATAGTGGGTTCAATCTGTGACTACTATAATAGTAGTAGCTAAAACAGAGCATAATAATAGTAGCATCAAAGAAAATAGAGAGCATAAAAAATGGCTTATCAAAGATTCATGACTACAACCAATTTGAATCATAATAATAAAATTTATAAATTCTTCATTGATCAATTAAGGCCGAAATACAATTGATGTGTATAGTTCATTCCACAATTTACTTCCCTTGCCTGCAGTTCTAGAGGCTAGAGAGCATCAGCTTGATTATCACTTTTGAAAGTGCTTTATGTTAGAGCCCTGTTTTGACCTCAATTATACATTAACTCAAGTATCACTTAGATTGTTCTGATTGCCAAACTTTTGATTGTGCTTTATGACAAATTTTTTTCTTCTGATCTTAGTTTAAAACAGTTTGTCCTAATTTCTGTACTGACTTTTTTTTTTTTTTGAACAAGGTGTACTGACTTTAATTTGTGTGTATTAGATAATTAAATGTGTTATACATAGATATATTGGTTTCTAGGTGTGGATTTGGGATGGGTGTTAGTGTCACTCTAAAGATTTGTTCGGATCATATTTTCATGAATTGAATGATTTATATTATAGGATTCGTTGAATACATCATTTGCATAAAAAATCAAGTAAATGGAATAAATATAGACTCATGATCAAACTCCACTTTTTAAAAAAATAAAAGTTGTGAAGTAGTTTTTTTCAATTAACTTTTATTAGAACCAAAAAAAGAAAGGAAAGAAAAGATTTACAAAATTGTAAAATCTTAATGTAAACCACAATAACTTGCTATTTTTAATGGACAAAATAACTTGGGGGACCCCATGAAAGTTTTACTTACAGACTGCAAATCTGATTTATGAAAAAACAAAACGAACAATATAAGATTGACATTTACAATTTTTAGTCATGATTTCTTCCTATGTGGGTGAATGTCAGTTGTGTGTACCCTATGAAGAGCAGTTCCAATTTCTGATATATACTACCAACAAAATATCTCCTTAGTTTTTTTTTAAATTAAATTAATTTTTATGTATTGCATTGTAGGGATCTCTCTTTCAACAACTTTACCAGTGATCTTCCCAGTTCATTTATTGCATTGACCAATATTTCTACTCTATGAGTGTAATGAAGTGCTAATTTATAGTTGATATTTTATTTTTGGGGTTCAGTTCAGTTTTTTTGAACTTCCGCTGGTTTCTTGATTTTTGGCAATCATGTGCAGAACAACCAATTAACTGGTTCTCTTAATGTTCTGGCTAATTTACCTTTGACAGATTTGTAAGTTCATTCCCTAACTCTAGGCCTTGAATTTTATATTTCTCACCGGCCCTATTATTCTCATGCCTTGAATTTTCCATAGAAATGTTGCAAACAACCATTTCAGCGGGTGGATACCAAGAGAGCTTATTTCTATCCCTAAAATTATGTAAGTGATGCATGCAATATAATATCATTCCTGTTTGTGTTATATTTTAGAACTTCTCCAATATGTCTAATCTAGCATTTTAAATAAACAGATATGACGGAAATTCATTTGATAATGGTCCTGCTCCTCCTTCACCACCATATACCTCGCCTCCCCCAGGTAGACCACATAATAATCGAAATCATTCTCCTCCAGGGGCAGATTCACCACAGGGATCTGGTGGTCAATCGTCCAATCCAGACAATGGAAATAAAAAGGCACTAGCAGCTGGTCTGATTATAGGCATAGCTCTAGGTTCTTCGTTGGTGGTCTTCTTTGCAATGCTTGTGATTGTGTTTTGCCTCCGAAAGGGTAAAAGGAAGGAACCCACTGCTGCTAGAACTTCTTCAGGAAGTCTCCCTGTTAGCACAGATAAAGGTATGTCCTTTTCCCAATTAAAAGAAAGAAAGAAAGGAAGGCTGAGACCTTCTTTGGTTAGTTATTTTTATTAATTTGTTTATATCAAAAGTTCTTTCTATTTATTTAATATCATAATTAACTTTAGGTTCAGTGTTTGAAATGTCTTCCAATTGTTTGGAAATTTAATGATAGCAACTTATTCCTTTTTAAAGTCTTTACACATATTATAACATCAGTTTTTGCTTCTGAATTATTCAGTTGTACATTGTTCTAGATGTTCATATCAAGGTATAAATGTCCTAAAAGTATGATGCCATTTATAATACTGATTAAGCTATCTTTTAATACCCTCCTACTTTCTAAGCCATTTTGTCTTTTAAATGTTCCATTCTTGATCTGAATCTATCCACTCCAAAGTCGCATGCTCACTCACACCCTCATTGACCCCAATCTACTTAGGCCAGCCTCCATTTCGTGGTCATGGGTATTGTTAGATACCTTCTTCAGGATCAAGTTCATGGTCATATGCCTAGGCCGCTTATTGTTAGAAAGTAGATTGTTGATGTCCACCAATAGTTGTTGAAAGTTTAACTAATACCATTGGAAGGATTAATGACAGAATTTCATGATTGGGCACATGACAAAAGTGCTTTGTCATTCTAGAAGGAAAAAAGAAAAAGAAAAAAAGAAACAACAATATGTTGGAAGAATCATGTGTACACTAAAAGTTGTTAGACGGTGTCTTGAATGTGATTGATTTATATTGTGGGGTCTATCATATTTATGTTGGTGTTTTGCTTAACAATATGGAAAGTAATAGTTGGTGATTGATGTGGGACAGCACATGGCCATGCCACGTGATAACCTATTTGTACCCAATTTTTCCCCCTCCAATAGGAAAAATTGTTATATGCAGGAAGGGTACCACGTGGTATTGTCATGTAGTATTCTAAACCAATCACCAAATGCCCTTCCTTCATGTTGATAGGCAAACACTAACATAAATATAATAGACCCTCCATATAAACCAAGCGCAACAGTAAGCACCATGTGAGAATACCCTTTTGCTTATCCAATAACTCCTCCAATAGAGATGCTATATGCGATAATAAATGGTGATATGTCTTTTATAATTTGTAAAAGATCTCAGATTGTTTAGATTGAAAACATGAAAGACAGACCCCGCAAAGGACTGATGGCTTCTTCTTCCTACCGACAAATTTTCTTTCAACACAATTTTTTTCTTCCTAAAGACAGACCCCACATGAATATATTAAATTTTAAGTTTTTTTTTTGGGGTTAATTTTTCCTAAATTTTAATGATACCTACAATTATTCAAACAAAACTGGCTTATGTGTGGTGGCAGCATACACTTTTCTACTGTATTCATGTTCCCCATGATTAATTAAATGTTGAGGATGCATTAAATTAATTAATTAATTGACATTATTTACACTGAACATTATAACTACATTTTAATCCCAACATTATTTACACCGAACATTATTTACGTCGTGCCTTCAGGCACGGGCATACGCTAGTATATCTATATAATAAGGCAAGAAGGATTTTGAATTTATGTCAAAAATGTGTGTGAGATACATTTGATCCAATGGTCTAGATCAATTGTAAGAATCTATTAACGGTGCAGATCAATTCTGAGATCATATATTCCTGCTCAAATATCTCTCTCCCTCACCCTTCCACCTACTCACGTCTCTCTCCCCCTTTCTGTTCTCACCCACCTTTGCTCATCATCACCACTGCTCATCACCTCTGCTCAAATATCTCTCTCCCGCTCAAATACATTCGCCGCTGCTCATCATCACCACTCGCAAGGGTTCGATTTCGCTTGGTTCGCAAGGTAATGTCCTCCATTTCTGTCTCTCCCCTTCACTTTCTGTTTCGATTTCTGATCTGTTTCGGTGGTTTCAAGGTTCTGAAAATCGATTTCTGATTTGTTCGATTTCGATTTTTCATCAAGGTTCTGTTTCGATGATTTCTCACGACTCGCAAGGCTCTGCTTCAAGGTTCTCACCCTCTCCCCTTCACTTTCTGTTTCGATTTCTGATCTGTTTCGGTGGTTTCAAGGTTCTGAAAATCGATTTCTGATTTGTTCGATTTCGATTTTTCATCAAGGTTCTGTTTCGATGATTTCTCACGACTCGCAAGGCTCTGCTTCAAGGTTCTCACCCTCTCCCCTTCACTTTCTGTTTCGATTTCTGATCTGTTTCGGTGGTTTCAAGGTTCTGATCTGTTTCGGTATTTCTGATCTGTTTCGGTATTTTCCCCATCTCGATTTCTGATCTGTTTCGATTTTGATTTTTCATCAAGGTTCTGTTTCGATGATTTCTCACGACTCGCAAGGCTCTGCTTCAAGGTTCTCACCCTCTCTCGGCTAGCAAGGTAATATCGATTTCTACCTCTCACCTTCTCTCTCTGTTTCGCTTTGATTCATGGTGCATTCATCTGTAACCCTCGCACTTTGGTTTTTATTTTTTTGGTAACGTTTGGTAGCCATCACCCCGCTCGACCTTGCCACCACATACATATGTTCTGGGCTGTCTTGCTCCTCCATTTTCCTCTCTCTCCCTCTCTCTCTCTCTCTCTCTCTCTCTCTCTCTCTCTTATCTTCTCTCTTTTCCTTCCCTCTAACAGCTTCAGAGTTCAGAGCTCTGGTTCAAGAACTCACTGTGTTGAAGGCAATCAAATGGTCTCTGATCATCATGATCATGCACTGGAAGCAAGAAACATAATACACCCATTTCAAAACAACACCCATTTCAAAAGGTTTTTCAAAATCATAAAAAATCAACACTCATTTTCCATTAAGGAATTAAATCCATTTCATAAAATCAAACTGAAAATAAAAATACATTTCTAAAATCAAAATCGATTTTATGAAGATCAAGTATTATTTCATAAGAACAACAAAAGAGTAAAATAGGTTAGAGCCAAGGATCTCAAGCCTCAAGAACAGGTTGTAATTGCTTCTTTGGAATCCTTTTTACTACATGTGTACACAACTAGATTGACTGTTTGACTAGCAATTAGATAGTTCCTTCTCAAAAATTTAAAAAATGAAATAAGGGACCAAATGAGAATGGAACACAAAAACAGAATGGATTGCAAATAAATCGTAAAATAACGTTCGAGTAGTTGTGCCACCAAGGTTTTTGAAGCATTGAAGCTTCAATCTTCGAGTAGTACGCTCATGTCCTATAAATCTGTGTTTTTATCAAATTCTTGGCAGGTTAGTTTGGCATTGCAAAGTTCATAAGAGCATCCAATCCAGGTAAGACTTTGAACTCGCTGCTCTTGATCAGTGTTGTGTTTTTCCCTTTCTCTGCTCTTGACTGCTGTTGTTGGTTGATTATGTTGTTTGGATTTATTGTTTGAATTCTGAATCCTGAAGGATTTGTTGGTTGATAATCTTTTTTGTGTATTACTTTTAGATTTCATGTACAGCACACTGTGCTTTCCTTTTGAAATGGTCAGCCTTCTATTTTACATGTAACTTTATAGAGATATGTCCAATTTTATGCCAGAACACTTTCTAAAAAGAAACATAATACACTATTTATTGAATTCACTGAAATCAGAACACTTTCTAATCATTTCACCTATTTTCACAACACTTCTACTCCTATAAAAGATAACAAATAAAAAACAAAAAAATAAGTTTGAAGTTCAATCTCCTTAGGTAGTTGATAAGTGCATCACTCGAGTTTGGTGAAATGTATTTGTGTTTGAAATGCAAATGATTAAACACATTTCAAGATGAACTTCAAACTTAACTCACTTCCCAAACCATGGTATTCTTATTCCCAAATATCATAGTAAAAGAATAAATACAGTACAGTTAAGCTGAGTAGCTAAAGTTATCATTAGTAAAAGAATATCAATAATCTAAAGTTTGCTTTTAAAAGAATATAGTCATTTGTAAAGAAAAAAAGCAATGTTCTGCTCTCTTTTTGTGTGGTTTACCTAGAAATGAATATTCTAACCCTAAAATAATTCACTGTACAGTTAGGATATTGTATTCTAATCCTAAAAGAATACAATATCCTAAAATAATCATAGTCATTGAAAAAAAGCAATATTTTAATCCTAAAAGAATTCACTGCCTTCACACTGTTACCTGTAAAGCTTTTTAATGAAGACATCGTGCAGCTCTCTTTTTGTGTGGTTTACCTGGAAATGAATAAAAAAAATTCAGTGTTTGAGAATGCAAGGAATGCTTAGAATACAATGTTCATATTCCAACCATTGAAAAGAAAAAAAGCAAGAAAAAAAATTATTGTTATTAGCATAATTACAAATAAAAAATCTTCATTATAAAAGAATACAAAAAAAAAAATATATATATATATATATACTACCGCAAACCAACTATAAATGCTAAAGTTGATGAGGTTTTGTACTTGAACAACCAAAAGTATGTTACATGAAAGACAAGGCAAAATCCCCCAACTATGTTAGAATCCCCATTTAATCGAACAGGGTCAGAGGCATCAAAAAGTGTCGATGCCTCCAGAGACATTGAACAGTCCCAACCAGCAAAGCACCAAAATTATAAGATCAATTAACAAGATGACCAAAATTATGATAGCAATACATAATTATCACAAAAAAGGGGTGTTCACATTTTTTCCTATCAAAGCTTAACTAGATTTTCAAATTTTTAACTGTTAACAATTTAATCAATTCTGAGGATTATCACAATTTAACAATTTAATCAATATAGAGTCACATTGAACAATCCACATCATGCACAGCCTGAGCCAGCCAGCCAATTTAATTCTAAGGTTAACTACAACTCCACACTCACAGCAAAACCATAGACTAGAGTCACTCGCAGTCAAGGGTACAAAGCCCTATTTCACCATTATTCATACCCCTTAAATTTGTATAATAGTTGTTCAAACCATGGTATTCTTCTTCCCATAAAATTGTTGATGCTCACAAATTAATAATCATGATATCCTCTGTGAGAATTTGGTGTGAATTAACGTATTTGGTGTGAATTTGGTGTAAAAAGGCTCGCATTAGACAGCTTGATACTTCTTAAGAACAGTGAATGGTCATTAGGAAACTTAAGGACGTCCAAACATTAAGGTAAGAATTTGATTTGTATTCTTACTGAAGCATGGCTTTAAATTAAAGCATTGCTTTAAATTAAAGCATTGTTGTTTAGTGATTATTTCTTTGGTTAGGATTTGTATAGTTAAGTTAGACAACCATGACTTTAAATTTTTATTTTGTTAATTGTTAGGATTTGAATCTTTTTCAGTTAATTGATTTTGAAATTCACGACTTAATTGGTTTGAATTTGTAATAACATACTTTTCATTAGCAAAGGTCTTTTTATTTTCTTAGAATTCTCCATTAGTTTGACTTTAAATTTTAAATTTTTTCTCCCATTCTTTATTGTTTCAATTATTTAACCTTTTATATTATACTAATTTAATTTATTACAAAAGGAATTTATCAAAAAAGAGTAAAATAATTTATTCATAAATATAATATATATATATATATATTCGTTTTGAAATTAAATATCAACTCTTCAATCATTTTAAGAAAACTGAATAAATTATCTTACTTCTTAATTTCAATTGAATCTCAATTTGATTAAATCAATATAATGTGAGCAATTAGTTTTGCAAAAGCGTTAAATTGACTAAAGAGACAAACAACAAGCGTAATTCATCACAATAAAAGAAAAAAAAAAAATAAATGGTGAACTATAGTAATTTATGATTATAACGGGTTCTATTTTATCTCTATAAAATTGAAGTCGATTAGAAAAAAGAAGAGTTCAAATTTGGACAATTATTGTGCTCTGATTTTAATTTTATCATTTTAATGTGATTGTTAAAATATATCTATTTTAAACATTGGGTTGGCCTTTTTTTTTTATTCCTCAGACGTTTATTTTTTTATTTCTTCTCCTCTTGATTGTAGCCCGTTAAGCATTTCTGAAATCTGAAATGAGTTTGATTCATCTTGATTCTATTACACTTCAAACTCAACCCATTTGGGTTTCCAACTATGTTGATATCTGAAATCTGAAATAAGT